CCTGACCCCTGCTCTGACAGTTGAAAGAGGAAGTACTATGTAACCCATTTTGCCTTATAAATAAAGCAAGCAGCCTGTACTCGGTGTGTCTGTCTTCTCAGAGGCATTCACCCGTGTACACGTTCTTAAACTCTGAGTCGGTCTGCAGTGTCTTATTTCTCTTACTTGTGAACAGATGTCTAAACCCCTGACAAATGGTCAGTTGTGTTTCTGCTGACAGATTAATCAAGATGTTAGGTGAGCTGCTCAGACGTCCTCCTGTTCTCCATGAGCTCCTTCGTCTCCACAAACACCAACTTTACTGTCCACCATCTCAGTGTGCTCCTGTCTGCTGGACCTCTGCTTCCTCCTGTTCTGGAGTGGCACACAGATTAGACTGACTGCATCGCTCCTCACTTCAGTTCAATGAACAGACTTCATTCCTGCTGCTAAAAAGATTTATTCTTTACCTTACAGCAGAAATATAAGACAATGTTCTCCAACAGCAGAATCAGCGGCAGGAGGATCACTCTGACGGTAAGACCTGTGTGATCTGATCAGACACATCACAACCATCATGAGTCCAACAGCTCAGGGTATAGCAACATGAAAACAGAATAAACCTGTTTGAGTCAGTTACCTTTGAAACCTAACAAATATTAACAAGCTCAATTAACGCTGCTGCCTCTTGGCAAAGGACACTCTTACAATTAATCTTCATTTTTAGTCTCCAGATATTTTATTGCTTGTTAAACTGAAGCTTATAATAGGCATGTGAATTAGATTTTTTTTTGCTGTGTCACCTCAAAATTTATGTTTTGTCAAGTGTTTGTCTTTTTCCTTTTTCTCTTTTCCTTTTGTCCTCAAACTCATGTTGATATTGATGGCTGATGTCAGCTTCAGCTTACCTGAGACAACGACAGACAGCAGTCGGCTCTCAGAGGAGACGTTATGAAAAAAAACATGAACGTGATAAACACAGCTGTAGTTTCCTTGGTGGGCGGGTTCTGCAGCAGGAAACAGGAAATGGGCAGAGTGATTGACAGCTGCTTGGGTGTATTTGTATGCTTTGTTGAAGGTAAGGTGAAAGGAGCCTCCAGGGTACTGTGGCTGGATGAAACAACTGATGGTGAAGTTGGAACTTCTGGATACCTGAAACCCCTGCTGCTGGGCCTCAGAGACCCCGTCATTGGAGGACAAAGAAATGACTGGCTGAACAAGCAGGTCTGTAGTAGACAGAGATGATGTAGATAACAATGAAAGGTGTGTCATGTCAGGTGAGGTTCAGTAGTCCATGGAGGATTTGAATTTTTTCGATTCACTCCAATGGAAAACGTTAACTGTCACTGGACACATGAGTGTTATTCATTATGTCACAGATTATGGTGCGCTTACCTGAGCAGGTGATATTCACAATGGAGGAAGAGTCATTTGATGTTGCACAGTCTCTCAGAGATGATCCAACCTGAACACAGTCAGGTCTCATCACCCACACTGGCAAGTCTGAGGACTCCACCCTCTGTCCTACAGAAACAGCTAAGCCACAGTTCAGTTGTTCACACACAACAGCTGCTTCCTCCAGGGTCCAGTCAGAGACATCCACTGGTCTCCACTCTCCCAAATGTTTCACCTTGAGTGTGCCTGCACACCGATGGGCTCCTCCCACCAGCCTGACGGGCTCTAACAGAAGCAGAGAGTCATCAGCAAAGAACAAAGTGAGTTTAAAAAAGAAAATCAAAGCCACATCAAAGCTGCAGCTCCTCTTCTACCTGAGCAGGTGAGTCCAACAGCTTTGCCAG